CCCCTCGCGCCTGTTTTCTTGGTACCAGTCCCCCCCCCGGCATACCCCCTCCCCCCACAGGGTCCTGCTCCCTCAGGTGTGTCTCAGATAGACCCACCCCCCTTGGTTGAGCCTTTAGAGATCTCTTCTGATTCCTCTGGCCCAGCTGAGGGGGGTGACCCCGCCGCTGACGACACGACGCCCACTCGCCGCTCTCCACGCTTGGAGACCCCCCCTGGTTTTCCGCCTCGGCCGTCTTCGCCGCCTCCGTAGCCTGCTGCTGTGGACTATGGAGCTGAGACTGCTGGTGCTGAGCCTGGGGGTGCTGAGACAGAGGGTGAGCGTTTTGGGGGTGTTGCGACTGGGGGTGCTGCGACTGGGGGTGCTGGTTCTGGGAGTGCTGCGACTGGGGGTGCTGACTCTGTGGGTGCTGCGAGTCCTAGTGGCGGTGGAGCTGTGGTTGACCCTGCTGGAGGTCCTGGAGCTGGACAGCCACCGCAGCCTGATCTACTTGAGACGCTCTCGCCGCAGGCGATTCGTGCGTGGATCGTTCGGCGAGGCAGTCCTGGTGGTGGAGGGTACGGTCCTGCTGGTGCTGGAGCTGCTAGTCCTGGAGGTACTGCTGGTGCTGGAGGTGCTGGAGGTAGTGCTGGAGGTGCTGGAGGTGTTGCTGGTGCTGGAGGTACTAGAGGTGCTGCTGGTGCTGGAGGTACTGGAGCTGCTAGTCCTGGAGGTACTGGAGGTGCTGCTGGTGCTGGAGGTGCCAGAGCTACTAGTCCTGGAGGTGCTACTGGTGCTGGAGGTGCTGGACCTACTAGTCCTGGAGGTCCAGCTGGTGCTGGAGGTGCTGGAGCTGCTGGCACTGGAGGTGCTGGTGCTGCTGGTGTTAGAGGTGCTGGAGGTGCTACTGGTGCTGGAGGCGCTGGAGCTGGAGGTACTGGAGGTGCTGGTGCTACTGGTGCTGGAGCTGCGGGAGCTGCTGGTACTGGAGGTGCTCGTACTAGAGGTACTGGAGCTGCCGGAGCTGGTGGTTTTGCTGGTGCTGGAGGTGCTGGTGCTGCTGGTGCTGGAGGTGCTAGAGGTGCTGCTGGTACTGGAGGCACTGGAGCTGGAGGTACTGGAGGTACTTGAGCTGCTGACGGTACGGGAACTGCGCCGCGCCGACCGTTTTTCTACCCGAAGCCGCAGTCGTCCCTTCCACCGCCTGACTCAGCCCTTCGCCAGGTTCTTAGTCTCCCGTCTTCCACTGGCCTCACTCCACGTCTCTTGTGTCCACCGACAGACCAGTCTCAGCCACAGCTACTGCCTGGCTCCCCGTTGCCAGCTCCTACTCCTCACACTAAGGTGATTGAGTCCCTGACTGAGCGTCGTGAGCCTGAGACTCGTGCTTCCACACCTGTTCATGCTCGTCGGGTAGCCCGTCCTCGTCCTCCTACTGTCCCAGGCACTCACGGTATGGCACTTCGTCCTTCCTCTGTTCCACAGCGTGTTGTCCTGCCTGAGCATCCCGCGTCCTCTCTTCCGCATGTTCCTGACCCTGAGTCCGACCTTGCTCGTGCTGCCAGTCCTACTGTCACTCGTCTCCTCGCTACTGTAGTCATTGACCCTGACTTTGAGTCTACTGCTGCGTTTGCTCTAGTCACTGAGCTAGTCGACTTTGCAACTAGGAGTCGTCTCGACTACGTCGCGAGTCTTGTTACTGAGTCTGAGTCTGTCTGTCCTCCGACCGTCGGGGGTGAGCCTGCCCTTAGCAGTGACGTCCTTGAGGACAGGCAGTTTGAGCTTGAGTGTCTTGCGGCCGCTTTACCTCGTTTCGCATCCATGCTGCTTTGCCCTGAGGGAGACCCGGCACTTGACATCCCTACCCCGCGCTCTTACGCTGAGGCGATCGCGGGTGACAGCCATGGACGCCGAGATGGCTTCCTGGAAGTCCACAGGCACCTGCGTCGACGAGGTTCCTCCTCCTGTGGCGAACATAGTTGATGGCATGTGGATTTTCAGAGTGAAGCGGCCGCCGGGTTCTCCACCTGCCTTCAAGGCGGGTAACGTTGCTCGAGGCTTCAGTCAGTGACAGGGGGTCGACTTCTTCCAGACCTTCTCCCCCACCCCCAAGGTGACTACTCTTCGGGTGTTGCTGCACGTTGCAGCACAGCGTGACTACGAGCTGCACTCCCTCGACTTCTCCACAGCTTTCTTGCAGGGCAGCCTTCACGAGGAGATCTGGCTGCGCCGCCCACCTGGCTTCACTGGGTCGTTTCCTGCGGGTACCCAGTGGAGCCTCCGGCGGCCAGTCTACGGTCTCCGCCAGGCGCCTCGCGAGTGGCACGACATGCTGAGGACGACCTGGTTTTTGCTCTGACACTGAGGCGCTGGCCCTATTGAAGGCGGAGCTACAGGAGAGACACACGTGCACTGACCTGGGTGAGCTGCGTAGCTATCTTGGCTTGCAGATCACCCGGGAAAGAGCACGGCGCACCATCACCCTGACTCAGTCACACATGGTGCACCAGGTCCTTCGGCGCTTCGGCTTCCAGTACTCCTCGCTACAGCCCACTCCTCTGTCTACCGGCCACTCGCTCTCAGCTCCACATTCGGCCGAGTTCGTAGAGCTGAGTGGTCCATACCCAGAGCTTGTGGGTTGCCTCATGTACCTGATGACATGCACACGACCTGACCTCGTGTACCCTCTAAGCCTCCTGGCTCGCTACGTGGCTCCCGGTAGACACCGAAAGGTGCACTTTGATGCTGCGAAGAGGGTACTGCGTTACTTGTGCAGTACATCGGGCATGGGGCTCGTGCTTGGAGGACAAGGTTCAGTGGTACTCACAGGACACTCCGACGCTTCTTGGGCCGACGACCAGGCGACTCAGCGTTCGTCACAGGGTTACACCTTCAGTCTTGGCTCTGGTTCTGTCTTGTGGAGGTCCACTCGTTCTTCTTCTGTGCTTGGTTCCAGCTGTGAGGCCGAGATCTACGCTGGGGCCATGGCTGCACAGGAGCTACGCTGGCTGACCTACCTGCTGACCGACTTGGGGGAGCGGCCTCGTTCTGCTCCAGTTCTGTACGTCGACAACAAGGTCATGCTTGCCTTGTGTCGGGAGTAGAGACTGGAGCACAGAGCGAAGCACATTGCTCTTCGCTACTTTCTTGCTCGAGAGCTGCAGCAGAGTGGTCAGCTTCGCCTTTCTTACGTGGCCTCTCGGGCCAACACTGCTGATGTCGTCACCAAGGCCCTCGGGTCTGGTGATCTTCAGCGTTTTTGCACTGCTCTTGGGCTTCTGCCCGTTCTACCTCACCTGCTTGTCTCTTGATCTTGCATTTGTTGTACACTGATATCTATATTTATACCTGCATGTTTCCTCTTGCTAGGTTGTGATCAGTGTACTGCCTTGCGATTATACCTCTGCATGTGAACTGGCCATGTGGCCGCTTGCTTGTGCTCGGATTGTGTGGTGTCCTTGAGATCCACCCTGAGCTTTGCTTTGCTTTGCTCTGTTGTCTTGCTTGACTGGTCTTGTGACCGTCTTGTTGTCCCCCACTTAGCCTATGGGGGTGTGTCAAAGTACAATCCCACTTGTAGGCTATAGTGGGGCATTCCTTATGGGGTACAACACTTTTAGGGTTAGTACTTGTACCCCAACTCTTGCTAATCCAATCATTTCTGCACAGTTATTCTGACACGTGAGCGCGATGGCGAGGGGAGGGAGAAACGTGAGCAACGGGAAGGGATGGGAGGGCTATTCGAGGCGAGCGTGAAGGCGACGAGGTGGGTGATGGCAGGGGCGAGAGGAAGAGCGACGGGAGGGCGACTTGGCGAGAGCGCCACGGCAACGAGGTGGGTCATGGGAAAAGAGAGAGGAAGAACGGCGGGAGGGCTATACTAAACGAGCGGAACGGAAATGGCGTTGGAAGGGCGGTGCGATAGGTTGCGCGAAGCCTTGCGATGCGAATAATACGACACTTTGTTGTCGACATCCTCGTATGGGAGAGAGATAACGCTGCAAGAGAAAGGCGACATGGGCTGACGGCGACTAGGAGGTTGACGATTGCGCTACTAGCAGGCAAAATAACACTGCCCTACTAGGCTACGTATTACTAATTCACGCACTCGTGCTAAGTCGATAATAAACGCGGTCGTTGATAATTTCGTGTCTGAGACACAAGCACCTATGCTTTCCGCTATACTATGCGTGGCAAAAAACTAGTGAGTAAGTAAGGGAGTAGAAATCAGGCAGTTAACCCAGGACCAGCTGGATATTGAAGTTGGGCCTTGCGATGGAACCCATCGCCAGGGCGTGGAAACCAACGCCAGGGAACGGTCGTGCAAGTGCAGGTCGCAGAAATGCGAGCGGGAAAGTCCATTCTGGCGGGAGCCACGACATCTCATTTTGGCGAGAGCCAATCACATGAGCTCAATCTGCCCGCACGATTTGTTTCACACAGTGTTTTGTCAGACTTGCTTCACTTAAAAAAAAAATCAGTCGCAACACCTCTTTCAAGATGGGACGGGGGTCACTATTTTGCCTGCTGGCTTTAACAAACAAACGAGGATTTCACCTAAGAGCGTGTTCCTATCCTCGTATCAAGATAACCTCGTATCAGGCTCACACTGAAAATTCCCCGAAACCCAAAACCTCTCGCTAGTTTTACCAGGCAAAAACAGCATTCTTGATACGAGGTTTCCTGATATGAGGCCGTAGGAACACGCTCTAAAGAGGAAAAGGAATACGAAGTACCGCAACGGTGAGACGCACAAACGGGAAAGGCTATGCTGGCATATTGGCTCAGGGAGTCTCGAAGTGTAGGCCGAATCGGCCGTAATCGGAGTGTCGAAGTACAGACAACAAGGTTTAGTGAAAGCTGGCGTGCGGTTGTTAAAGGGCGAAGAACGATTGGGGTCCTTTGCACAGTCTTGTATGCGCTGAAGACAGGTGCGGAATAAGAAATCGAATTCCTTGTATACCCCCCTATGCTGAAGTCAATGAATATACGTTGCAAACCTCCCTGCTTCTCAAGTTCTCCTAGAGGACGGGGTTCTGTGATGGTGCCCAGGGGGGTGGGTGTGGGCAGGCTGGATGGAGAGCAGTGGCCGTGATGTGTGCATGTGCACTGGCTGGGGGGAAAGGGGGTGGGGGGGAAGAGGGTGGGGGGGAGAAAGGGGGCGTAGCCTTGCCGGGGGAAATGGGAGGGTAGGGCAGTTGTGTGAAGGTGGGTGTGGACGGGGGGAAGTGCAGCGAGTCTGATCAAAGGGAGAGGAGGGGGCGGAGTCCCAAGGAGTGTGACGTATGTATGCACACAGGTGCTGCACTGCTCACCCCTGTGGCAGCTCTCAGAGCACTAGCAGCACTGGCACCGTACCATACACATGCCCTTCTCCCTTCTCCCTCCGTCCTCCCCAAACCCAATTCCCCCACACCACATCTCCCCAGATCCCTTCACCCCTCCCCCAAGGCCCTGTCCCTTGCTTGCAACCCTGTCTTAACCCCAGTCCCTAAACCCCCACCCCCCAACTCCCCAGCCCCAAAGCCCCAACCCCACCCACAACCCCCCAGCCCCCAACCGCCCAAGACAGTCTAAGCCCACACTGTCCCTTGCCTCCTGTCCTGCTCGCCTCCCTCTCCCTCTGCCGCCCTGTTACTCTCTCCCTCTCCTCCTACACGTAACCTCTGGCAGGAGAAGTTGCTCCAATCGGAGCTCGCCACGTGGCAGCCAGACAGCCACATGTTGGTGCCGACAGCCTGAGGGAGGGGAGGGAAAGAATGAGGGGGGACGAAGCAGTGTGGGGACGTTGTGAGTGTGCGCTAAATGGGAGGACGGAAGGAGAAATAGGGAGGGGAAGAGCAGGGGGGATGGAAAGAGAAGGGGGAAGGAAATGGACTTAAGGGGGAAATTAAGTGGAGAGAAGCGAGGGGGGAAGTGATGCGGATTGGAGGCATGGCAGTGAGGGACATTGGAGATACTGCAGAGATGGGCTGGGAGAGGACATGCAGTGAGAGGCATGGCATGGGGTGCACAGGCATGCAGATCGGCAGGTGCATGGGTGCAATGCGTACATGAGTGCATGCTGGTATGCTGGCATGGCATGCACTCAATGGTCTATACCCACATGGGTGCGTGCCTGTATGCTTGCATGCTTGCATGGGTGCATGCGTATACGCTAAAAGTGAAGAGAGGCAGAGAGTTGAGGGCCATCTCGCACTCCTCCCCACACTCCATACTGCACTCGCCTGCTACGTCCCCTACACACACACCTCCCGTTCACCACTCTTCCCTGCCCCATTCATCCCCCCACCTCGCTCTTGCACCCCCTGTGCCCCATCCCCATGCCCGCCGTGCTGTGATTGCAAGGAGGGGTGTGGGCGTGGTGGTGGCGGGGGGTGGTGCGGGTGCAGGGAGCGGTGCGAGTGGCGGGCCGTGCGGATGCTGTGCCATAGCCTGGTGGGGGGAAAGGGAAGGAGCAAGGGCGGGGGCCCAGGGGGAGAGAGAAAGGGTAGGGCGAAACGGCAGGGGAAACGGGCAGGGGAAGGGGACGAGATGCAGGGAGGGTAAGTTGGCAGCAGGGTGTGCGAGGGAAGCAGCTTGTGAAGTTGGACGTCAGGGCCCAGGGTGCATGGGTACAGCAGCACAGCACAGCGCACATGAGGCACGGCATGGCGGGACGAGCATGGAGAAGTGAATGGACCCTGTGCTCTCTTCCACAGCGCATGCACACGCCACACCTGTGAGTGACGCCTGTGAGTGACGCCTGTGAGTGACGCCTGTGAGTGACGCCTGTGAGGGTGCATTTCAGTGTGTGCACACACACAGAGCACATGCCTGTACGTCCTTCCTTCCACCCTCTGCTTTTGCGTCTGTGCGGCACACACCCGCTCACACTAATTCATCCCCATTCCAGTATAACCCCCCTCCCTCCCCCCCTTCCCACCACCGCTTCCCCTCCTCTGCCCCCTCACCATTCCTCTCCCTTGCCACGCCACGCTACACCATGACATGCCATGCCACCCCATGCCATGCCATGCCACCCCACTCAATGCCACCCCACTCAATGCCACCCCACTCCATGCCACCCCACTCCATGCCACCCCACGCCATGCCACCCCACTCCATGCCACCCCACTCCATGCCACCCCACTCCATGCCACCCCACTCCATGCCACCCCACTCCATGCCACCCCACTCCATGCCACCCCAGTCCATGCCACCCCACTCCACGCCACCCCACTCCACGCCACCCCACTCCATGCCACCCCACTCCATGCCACCCCACTCCATGCCAAGCCATGCCACCCCACTCTAAGCCATGCCACGCCCCTCTCCCGGCATCACCTCTGCTGCGCCACGTCAAAGCTGGCTCCCTGGCGAGTCTCATTATCTCATACACCCACGCGGCTGCAAACACGGCGGCCAACGCCCCTCCCTGCAGCGCCACGCCCACCACGTGCCCTGCGTCAAAGCCCCTGGCGCTACGGCCCGGTGCAACAAAGCAGTCCAATCCCATGAACACATCGGGTGCACCCACGGAGGCTAGGGCAGCTGAGGAGAGCACCTGCGCGTGGCCCTGGTGTGGGTCGTGTGGGTGGTGTGGTGGTGTGGTGGTGGGGACAGGGAGGGAAGGGAGAGGACGGAGGACACGGAGGGGAGGAGTGGAAAGGGGAGGGTGTGGTGAGGGGGAGGGGTGGTGGGCGAAGGCAAAGAGGAGGGTGATAGGAGCGTGGGAGGTGTGGTGTGCAGAGTGTGCTGTGGTGTTGGGTGGAGACATGGGTGAGGGGAGGAGCTGAGAGAGTGGGGTCGGAAAGAGCGGAAGGGGGAGGGAAGGGAAAATGCACAGCAGCAAGGCAGTACGGAAGCAGGGCGAGCAGGGCAGCAGGGGAGCAGGGCAGCAGGGGAGCAGGGCAGCAGGGCAGCAGGGGAGCAGGGCAGCAGGGGAGCAGGGCAGCAGGGCAGCAGCAGTGCACCTGACAGCAGTAGTTGGTAAAGTTGCAGCAGCGTCACAGGCGTGGAAGAAGCAGCGGTTGGCGGGGGTGAGCGCGTCCTGCCACCTCAGCTCGCCCTACTCCGCCACACTGTCTTACCTGTGCGGGGGTGAGAGGGGGGGACGAATGGGGAGAGAGGGGGAGAGTGCGGGGAGAGAAAGGGGAGCGAGGGGGGAGAGAGGGGGAGAGGGGGGGAGAGTGGGGGGAGAGGATGAGAGAAGGGAGAAAAGGAGAGAAGGAGGGAAGGGAGAGAGGGGAGAGAGACGAAGTGCAACTACGCGGCTCAGGTGGAGAACCCACCTGTGGCGCTGCCGGGCGAAGGAATGTCCCTCGGGGACTGCCTTGCCATCCTGGAGCCGGCATTGGAGCTGCCTTAGAGGGTGAAGGAGGGTAGGTAGGATGTGGGGGTTTTAGAAGCTGAGATGCATTGCTTCTTATATCCTTGTGCATGTCTGTACCTTGCTCGGATCTAATACACGGACCGCTGGAGAGAGAGAAGTCACGCATTACAGCGATGAGACATACAGCAGTTAGGAGTGGTGGAGGGGAAGGGATGGGGTGAAGCCATGAGAGCGAAGGGAAACAAATGGCAGAGCAGAAAAACGGCAAGACACTGGTGGGAGGCAAAGGCAGTCCGTAGCAAGCAGAGGAGAAGGGGGCGGCTATGGCGAACAACAGGGCGAGGAGGGCGGGCAGGGCGGGCAGGTGAGCAGAGGACGAGGGCGTGAGCGGAGAGGGCGTGCATGTGGCGGGAGAGGGCGTGCATGTGGCGGGAGAGGGCGTGCATGTGGCGGGAGAGGGCGTGCATGTGGCGGGTGAGGGCGTGCATGTGGCGGGTGAGGGCGCTCAGAAAGTGCAGCATCGTGAGCACCGCGTTCTCTATCTTCACCTGCCACCCTGTGTGCCGTGCCGTGCGGTGGGGTGGGGTGGAGTGCGGTGGGTGGGTGGGGTGGGGAGGTAGGAGTAGGATGCGGTCAGGTGGGGTGTCAGCGATGCTTGGCGTGAGGTGATGATGAGGAATGTGGGGGGGGGGGGGGAGTGGTGGGATGTGGTATGTGTTGAGGAGATGAGTGCTGGCAAAGGTGAACACAAGCACGTGTGCATGCGCCAAGCGCACAGCTTGTGAGGGGAGACTGCTTGTCACGTGTGCGTGCAGAGCACAGCATGTCAGCACGCCAAGGTGTGTCAGAAGAAAGGCAGCAGCAAGGAGCAACAGGCGTTGTCCCATGCCATCCATCACAGGAGGCCCACCACACCACAGCCAGCCACCCCCAATCAAAGCAGAGAGCAACCACTCCCTTGGAACAACACCCCACGCCCCACGTTGCCCTGCCACCTCCCTGGACCACAAGCCCCATGTCTCCCAAAATCTCCCCTCAATCTCCTCCCCTCTTCACCAGCCCCCTTCCCCCCCCCCCCCCCCAGCAGCCCAGCAGGCATACGAGGCAGCCGTGGAAGCAAGGAAGTGCGCGAGGAGGGCGAGGTGGAGGGCAGAGCAGGCGGCGGTGGCGGGCGAGGTGAGCAGCTGCCCGCACACGGCACTGCAGCGCCCCCCTCCCACTCCGTGATGAACGTGCCCAGGGGTGTGCTGTGCCGTGACATGTCTTTGCCCCCTCTTTGGATCGCACCTCCACACACACCCAAATGCCATCACAATCCCCCCACCCCCCCGAGCCCCTCTTCCCCCCACCCGCATCCCCCCAGCCCCCAGCCTCCCTCCCCCGCTTGTCCCGTGCGCACCTGCACTTCGCGCGTGCGGCAGCAGTTGCGCCAGGCCACGGGCGGAAGCATCACCAGGTGGTGGCTGAAGTAAACCCACGCGTCCACCGGATCCCACTCCCACGCGCGCTACACCCAGCTGCGCGCGCTCCCCTGCGCGCGCGCGCCCTCCACGTACCCCCCCATCATGTTGTGGCACGCTAACACCCGCTGCCGCCGCCGCGGAAACCCGCCGGGCGCGCTGCGCGCGCGGAAGGGCGCGGTGGAGCGGTTGTAAATTCCGCCCGTGGCGGGGCTGCCGGGGCGCCATTGGAGCAGCTGCTCGAGGGTCGTGAGGGGCGCGCAGACGAGCGCCACTGGCGGGGACGGCGGGACGGGGGGACGCGGCGGAGCGGCGGAAGCGACCGCCATGGCAGTGCGGTGGGTGCGTGAGGACGAGTGGGAGTGAGTGGATATGGACGGGAAGGTGTGAGGGTGTGAGGAGATGGGCGCCCACTGTCGTCATGGCGCCACCATACAACCGTCAGTCCACGTCTCCCGTGTACGAGGCTCCGAGAGCGAGCGGGCAGTGCGGCCCTAGGGTTGCAATTCCTACCATCCCCGTTACGAGATTGTGTGGTGTCGCGGAGCAGGGAGGTTGGTACTGGGCCGAATAAGAGTTCGCGGAATTCGTTAGCTAAAGAGGCGCACACCACACCATTCAAGTTTCGTCAAATGTCGTGCTGTCCCATCGCGATCTGCACTCAGGTTCTGAACAAAATGTGCAACAAGATGTGACACATAGTAGTACCCCCTCAATTGGACGCGATACTCTACCGCGCCAATCCCCAGCATGACCACACCATACCAAACCGCACGAAAACGTATTTCCGCCTCTTTCTTGCAACTGTTCACCAAACCCTTCCACAGCAGTGGTCCCGCGCAGCTTTTGCTACAGACCTGGCCTCTAAAATCCCACCACATTCGTCCCTCACCTTCAATTTCTCGTCGTTCTCACACACCTAATCCTTTGATTTCTCTCCATGCGTTCTCCCCTACCCGTGTCGCATTACACCCGCGCTGTTAGGATCGTAGACGCCTCAGTCGACAAAAGTCTGCTTGCTATTGTCGATGACGTTCTCCTCGTTCTCACGATTCCAACGATATGCGCAGCGGTTAATTCTGTCAACGTTTCACTGTTTTCTGTTTCACCAACGCTTGACTGGCGCTTCACTGGCACTCTCCGGAGGAATTCGGTTCGCGATTCCTTCACTAGCGTCTGGCGAGGTCTCCACACTGAAATTCGCGTCACTGGTGCCTCACGGGGCCTTCGCGAATGCTTTCGCGGGGAATTGATGGAGATTTCACTGAACTATGACAAAAGTGTCACCAATAGGATTTGAACACTAGTTTTCCCCAAGCGAGAGATTTCCCAAGTGTTGTATTCAACTGACTAGTACAAATGCTTCATACTCTACCCCACACACACATGTAACCAAACCAAAACGTGTCCCACAAGCAAACCCCCTAGTAACAAACTTGCCCCACACGCCAAGTGTCACGTCGAGTCGCACACGCAACCCCAACACTTTCGTCGAACGCTCCCCAAGTCCGAAAAACAGAAACTTGTTGAACACGCCATGAACCTGACCCAATTTCTTCCCCGTCAACCAATTCTTCTCCCTTAGTCAAATCTTCACCAATCTTTCTCCCATTTCACTCCAACTTCTTCCCGTAGCTTCCACTTCCGTAGCTCACACGCCAAGCAACTTAGTAGCTTCTTAGATTCTTCTTCTTGCTTCTTCAACACGCCACCGTTCAGTAGATCGCCGTCGGTCCGAATTTCACCATCGGTCCAAATCGCGCCGTCACTTAGGTGTGGTTCGTCGAACCATTCCAACAATCTCCCCTGTGGTTCGACAACCACACACTTCCCCTTTGCTCCTTGTCATCTAACTCGGCTTCATACTCCCCTGAAGCTCCTGCAACTTGTACCTCTGCTTCCTTGCTTTAAGATTGATCGCCTTGATGTCGAGTCCGCGATAGATACTCTCCACCCGCGCACTCCTCCTTGGCCGCACCTTTGCAGCTCCGTTTGCCTTCATTCCCTTCGTAACGCCAAGTCCTTTTGCAGCTTCAATTTGATCACACTCCACGCTTGCAGCTTCATCTTCAATGATGATCGTTGATGCACAAGTGTTGGCATGTATCTCCTCTTTCTCCTTCACTGCTGCCTCCACACGCGCATCCTTCTCCTTGACCAATACGTCATTCTTCACACAAGATGCCGCATCTCCCTTGTCTTCAACCTCAACCTTAATAAATGACTTCACTCCATCTTCCACCTTATAAAACTCACGGTCATCATACACCTCATCCATGTCATTCATTGCAATCAAGCTCATCTCATAAAAACCGTCGTTGAAGTACCCATCCGCATACTTCTCCCACAAAGGACCAAACACCGTAACCTTACCGTCATCATAGAACACCTTGCACGCCAAATCATCAAGCTGTGACTGGCTAATCAGATTTACCTTCAAGTCCTCAACCAACAAAACATTCTCAAGCCTCATCCCACCATAAGGACTCTGTAGCACCACATCACCTTCTCCCGTCACTGGAAGCTTCTCGTTGTTACCTTGAAGAATGAATTTCTCACTTGATTCTCTCATGTTCTCCACCAACTCAGACCTATAAGTCATATGACGCGTGCAGCCACTATCCAAAAGCCACGAATCATTCTTACCACCACCCGTTGGCTCGTTTACCTTAGGCACTCGCACCACGTTGGCACGGTGTGCACCACCAAGGATGACGTCCTCCTTTTCTACCACTGTCACGTTTGCCTTTGCAGCCATGTTCCTCGGCTGCGACCCTTTGTAACTCTTGCTATTCGGGTTGGAGAAGCAATCCGCGGCCTTATGTCCGTAGCGCCCGCAATAGTCGCATTTGCCGCCAAATCCGCGTTTATCCGCTCCTTCTTGATCTCCATGGTCGTTCTCCCCCGTTTTCCCTTTGTAGTTCTTGCTCCTTGGGTTTTCATAGCAATTGATCGCCTTGTGCCCCCTCTTTCCACACTGGTAGCATGCTCCAAACGCCTTTGTTGAAGTTGCATTCACCATACCAGGTTTCTCGTCTTCAATCTCCTTAGCCGCCTTCTTCCTCCTTATATCCTTCACCGTCTCAAGAGATTGTAGAATCTCCTGGAGCTTCATCAGGTTTTCCGGCGGTTGATATATAAACATCCCAACGTCCGACTCGTACTCCTTAGGAAGCCCTTCAACGATGTAGTCGATCATCGCTTGCTCCGATTCTGCGGCTCCCATCACCCGTAGGTCGTCGTTGTAGCTCTTCGCCCTATTGATGTAGGTAATGATGTTTTCACCCTTCTCCATGCTCAGCATCAGGAGTTGCTTCCTCACGGCCTTTCTGCTAGTATCATTGTTGCCCATGTAGGTGGACTCCAAGTACTCCCAAGCTCGTTGTGCCGAATTCAGCTCCCCTGCAAATTGGTCCAAATCCACCGCAATTATATCAGCAACCGAATCGCAAAGTTGAAAGAATGCTTTCTTACTTTGCTTCTTAAACAACACCACATTTTCCGGCGGATCCGTCTTGGGAGGTGGAACTCCCTCCTTCGTCTCTTCATCGGGACGGTAGAACGGTAGGAGCTCAACCTCCTCTGCCCGTCGAATGAACTTCTTCCGCCACACGTTGTAGTTGCTTCCCTTGAAGCGTTGGACTTCACTGAGCCCAATCGTCGGCTTTGTCACCACACGGACACTCGCAAGCGCCTCGAGAAGCGTCTTCATCTCCGAGTTTCCAAGACTCAAGCTGGAACCCGAACTCGCCTCGTCCATCATGGCGTAGGCGTGAAGAACTCTTCTTCTCCCACTTAGCGACGAGTAGTGCACGCCCGTTCTCCACGACGAGTAGCGCACGCCCGTTCACCTTCTCCAAGCTCTGATACCACTTGTTAGGATCGTAGACGCCTCAGTCAACAAAAGTCTGCTTGCTATTATCGATGACGTTCTCCTCGTTCTCACGATTCCAACGATATGCGCAGCGGTTAATTCTGTCAACGTTTCACTAACGTTTCACTGTTTTCTGTTTCACCAACGCTTGACTGGCGCTTCACTGGCACTCTCCGGAGGAATTCGGTTCGCGATTCCTTCACTAGCGTCTGGCGAGGTCTCCACACTGAAATTCGCGTCACTGGTGCCTCACGGGGCCTTCGCGAATGCTTTCGCGGGGAATTGATGAAGATTTCACTGAACTATGACAAAAGTGTCACCAATAGGATTTGAACACTGGTTTTCACCAAGCGAGAGATTTCCCAAGTGTTGTATTCAACTGACTAGTACAAATGCTTTATACTCTACCCCACACACACATGAAACCGAACCAAAACGTGTCCCACAAGCAAACCCCCTAGTAACAAACTTGCCCCACACGCCAAGTGTCACGTCGAGTCGCACACGCAACCCCAACACTTTCGTCGAACGCTCCCCAAGTCCGAAAAACAGAAACTTGTTGAACACGCCATGAACCTAACCCAATTTCTTCCCCGTCAACCAATTCTTCTCCCTTAGTCAAATCTTCACCAATCTTTCTCCCATTTCACTACAACTTCTTCCCGTAGCTTCCACTTCCGTAGCTCACACGCCAAGCAACTTAGTAGCTTCTTAGATTCTTCTTCTTGCTTCTTCAACACGCCACCGTTCAGTAGATCGCCGTCGGTCCGAATTTAGCCATCGGTCCAAATCGCGCCGTCACTTAGGTGTGGTTCGTCGAACCATTCCAACACGCGCCGCGCACCATCGCCGCCCCGAAACCGCGTCTTTGGTGCCGCAACGCGCAACCACACACATCGCCTCAGCCCGCCGCACACTCGCAGGTGACTGTCGAGTCGACTGTTAAAAACCTCTTGAAGCCTCTTAGGTGCCGCCGCGCATATAGTAACTCCGCGCCTTACCCAAGCAGGTCGCGTCGGGCCCGCCGCGCTGCCATCACATCCCTTGTTCGTTGCGTTCCTTGCCGGTAATTATCCTGCTGCGTGCATTGCCTCTGCTCGCTCCCGCCAAGCCGCCACTCCGTGCTTCCCTCTTTCCACTACTCCCGCATCCGTTGAAGGTGTCTGTAGCGAGTGCGGTGCTTGTAACGAACGCGGTGCTTGTAGCGAACCAATGCGGTGCTTGTAACGAATGCGGTGCTTGTAGCGAACCAATGCGGTGCTTGTAACGAATAAAGCGCTTGTTCCGGTACGCTGCATATGCGTCGCACAGCTAATACTCTCTCGTTACTCCCATTTGCCCCTCCTCCCCCCTGCTCCTCCTCCCCTCTGCGCCTCCTCCGCGTCACGCTCCACGTTCGTCATGCTGCGCCCCTGCTCACCGGGCAAGGCCTTCATCGGAAAAATGTGAAACTGCCGAGTATTGGGGGGGGGGGGGGGGGGGGGGGGTCCTTTTTTGAGTTGGGAGGCCGGTCGTTTTCGATGATTGATGAGGTGAAATTCGTACTACCCTGCTTCCCGGCAGTTTACCATCGGATGTGCTGGGTTTAGGGCGTGTCCAGCTTGTTCATTTCGGGAAATTTAGTACCTCCTCACGATCCGGGGTTCAAAACTGATCACTGTACCTATAAACGAATATGACCTGCGTCGAGTCCACCCTTTTTGTCAATTCTAGCGCGCGGACACATTCCCCCCACACAGACTTCAACAGTGCAGTGGCCTATTGAAACGAGGTAACCGGTTCCCTCGTCAACCAAAGCATTGGAATTTTCGCCAAGCCAACACTTCCACTACTGGTTTTGGCGAGTGTCAGGTTGCACTGGCGAAATCGAGCGCGCGATACGATGGGCACTCACTGTAGTGGGCAGGACGCGGTTCTGTACCATTGTTCGATGCGCACGCTGATTTCTGTAATGTGCGTCACACGATTCGAGGTACGTGCAGGGGGTGTGCCGTATCGTGAACGGGAGCTGATCGTGTCTGGCATTTTTGTAAAATTCAGTGTTACAACGCAAAATCTGGTAACTGAAGGGCTTTACGAACAGTAAATGAACGAGCTGGACACCCCCTTATACCTGCAGATTGTCGAAAGCCTTTCTACTCGTTGGCGGTGTTCGCCAGCACATGCAAACTTGAAAAAAACAAGACTCGACGTTAACGTCGGAAGGGTTGCGTAGGCGTTACTTATTTTAATAGAAAGATATAAGAAAAATGCACTATACTATATGAAGCAACAAATATGTTCCTATTTATAACGGAAGTCTTAGTTCCTCATTACAAAATACGAAAAACATTATTTTCTCGCGTTTGAGCGTTAGTTAATGGGGACTGATTTAGAGATTGATATTATACTTGTTTTAATCATTTTCTAAAGGTGTGTATTTTTACCTACATCTGATTATTTGCAATATCATAGTTGGTTTAGTGAGTTTGTTTATTTGCAGGTAACTCTGATGTTTGCGGATGGCGTGGTCACACGCGTGTTGTCACGTGATACAGTTCCAAATTCAATGTGTGCGTTTTTTTTGTCACGTGCCCGTCAATTTAGCTTGCAATTCGCCGCATCATCATAACACTGTACGCTTATTTCAAAACTCATTTCTTGCCTGGTTTTGCTCTGGCAGAAAAAAACCTTGCCAGCGCCACACATTCCCAACCACTAATTTTTTGGGTTTAGGGTTTAGGGTTTAGCGCCCTCATGAAACTCAAATGAGGCCCTCATGAAACTCAAATCTCGCAAGTCTTTGCGAAGCTAAGTACAGAATGGGGGATGCGGGCAGACGGAAACGTATCGGTCACCCAACAGAAAAGCAAAAGCTACCTAATTCTAAGGACCTATTTTAAGGACCCCTCCGGCTTCCCTCGTGCCCTTCCACCACCGATCTTACGTTGCAAACTGAGGCCCGTGATCCAGCCGCGTAGCCCGGTACCTCGCAGCCGAGCCCGTGATCTAGCCGCCTAGTCCGCGATCTCGCCGCGGAGCCCGCGATTTAGCCGCCAGGTTCGCGATTTAGCCGCTTGGCAGTGATCTAGCCGACCAGCCCGTGATCTAGCCGCAAAGCCAGCGATCAGGCCGCCCGGCGCGCCGATAGGCAGCAGAACTGGCGCCATAGCAGGCTCGTTTCACGTACTGGCAGCAGAATCGCGTCACAGCAGCGAAAAACGCGCCACAGCAGCGAAATCTGCACCACGGCAGCGAAATCCGTGCCACAGCAGCGAGATCCGTGCCACAGCAGCGAGATCCGAGCCATAGCAGTGAAATCCGAGCCATAGCCGCGAGTTCCGCGCCATAGCAGTGAAATCCGAGCCATAGCCGCGAGTTCCGCGCCATAGCAATGAAATCCGAGCCACAGCCGCGAGTTCCGCGCCATAGCAGTGAAATCTGAGCCACAGCCGCGAGATCCGCGCCATAACAACGTGGTTTGCGCCATAGCAGCGAAAGCCGTGTCTTAGCACCGAATCCGCCCCTCAGCAACGGAATCCGCGCCATAGCAGCCGCGCCTGGGCCATCGCAGTGAAACCCGCGCCATAAGAGTGTGATCCGTGCCGTAGCAGCAAAGACCGCACCTTAGCAGCGACATCTGCGCTTTAGCAGCGAAACCCGCGCCATAGCTGCGAAACCCGCGCCATAGCAGCACCGTAGAGTAAGAGCAGTAGCAGAGAGTAAGCGAACAAGCCTTAGCCAGGTTCTTGAGCCATGGCGGATGACCCGGACCCCGGGGATCCCGGGGGCTGGGTGGGGGACGGCCTTGACAGCGACGTGACGGGGGCCTTCGGGGGTGAAGGGGGGGTAAGCACAGTAGCAGCTGGTGGGTCGCTCCACCTATTGACCGGTCACAAAAGACGGGGGGGGGCTGAGAGTGCGCTCCAGAGCCCACGCACTCGCCGCCTCCACCACGAAGACCTTCTGTGCCTCTTTGGCAAACCAGCCAAGAGACAGTGTTGTGCAGCAGGCCGTTCGATTTCAGTACTGTCATGTAGCCAACCTCTCGAAGACCCTCCCAACACCGGGTCTGACGGCGATTACCCCGTACCTTCGGCCATCATCGGAGAAAGGGGGGGAGCAACAACCGAAAAGGGTCCAGTCGATGAGGTGGCGGTTGTGCCACGGGAGGCATCGGAGGTAGCGAGGGCAGCTTGGGAGGAACACCGTAGGTGCTTGCAACAACAGCATGACACTCGCAGACGCTGCCTACCTGAGAGGGCAATGTTGCACGGCACCGGCTCGGCCGACGCCGCAATCCCCCCGGTCGTGCCACGTCTCGCACGGCGGCAGGAGCGGAGGCGCCGGAGTGCGGCGGGGAAAGACAGGCAGCAGGAGCCACTAGTGGGGGGGCAGCGGGACCCGCAGGTGGGCGGGCAGCAGGGGGCCCGGGAGAGGAGCCGGCAGCCGCCGGTGGGGACGGGGCAGCAGGAGCTGCAGAGCGGAGGGCAGCAGGAGCTGCAGAGCGGAGAGCAGCAGCAGCTGCAGAGCGGAGAGCAGCAGCAGCTGCAGAGCGGAGGGCAGCAGCAGCTGCAGAGCGGAGGGCAGCAGCAGCTGCAGAGCGGAGGGCAGCAGCAGCTGCAGAGCGGAGGGCAGCAGGAGCTGCAGAGCGGAGGGCAGCAGCAGCTGCAGAGCGGAGGGCAGCAGGAGCTGCAGAGCGGAGGGCAGCAGGAGCTGCAGAGCGGAGGGCAGCAGCAGCTGCAGAGCGGAGGGCAGCGGCAGCTGCAGAGCGGAGGGCAGCAGGAGCTGCAGAGCGGAGGGCAGCAGCAGCTGCAGAGCGGAGGGCAGCAGGAGCTGCAGAGCGGAGGGCAGCAGCAGCTGCAGAGCGGAGGGCAGCAGGAGCTGCAGAGCGGAGGGCAGCAGGAGCTGCAGAGCGGAGGGCAGCAGCAGCTGCAGAGCGGAGGGCAGCGGCAGCTGCAGAGCGGAGGGCAGCAGGAGCTGCAGAGCGGAGGGCAGCAGCAGCTGCAGAGCGGAGGGCAGCAGGAGCTGCAGAGCGGAGGGCAGCAGCAGCTGCAGAGCGGAGGGCAGCAGGAGCTGCAGAGCGGAGGGCAGCAGCAGCTGCAGAGCGGAGGGCAGCAGGAGCTGCAGAGCGGAGGGCAGCAGCAGCTGCAGAGCGGAGGGCAGCGGCAGCTGCAGAGCGGAGGGCAGCAGGAGCTGCAAAGCGGAGGGCAGCAGCAGCTGCAGAGCGGAGGGCAGCAGGAGCTGCAGAGCGGAGGGCAGCAGGAGCTGCAGAGCGGAGGGCAGCAGGAGCTGCAGAGCGGAGGGCAGCAGGAGCTGCAGAGCGGAGGGCAGCAGCAGCTGCAGAGCGGAGGGCAGCGGCAGCTGCAGAGCGGAGGGCAGCAGGAGCTGCAGAGCGGAGGGCAGCAGCAGCTGCAGAGCGGAGGGCAGCAGGAGCTGCAGAGCGGAGGGCAGCAGGAGCTGCAGAGCGGAGGGCAGCAGGAGCTGCAGAGCGGAGGGCAGAAGCAGCTGCAGAGCGGAGGGCAGCAGCAGCTGCAGAGCGGAGGGCAGCAGCAGCTGCAGAGCGGAGGGCAGCAGCAGCTGCAGAGCGGAGGGCAGCAGGAGCTGCAGAGCGGAGGGCAGCAGCAGCTGCAGAGCGGAGGGCAGCAGCAGCTGCAGAGCGGGGGGCAGCAGGCGCTGCAGAGCGGAGGGCAGCAGGCGCTGCAGAGCGGAGGGCAGCAGCAGCTGCAGAGCGGAGGGCAGCAGCAGCTGCAGAGCGGAGGGCAGCAGGAGCTGCAGAGCGGAGGGCAGCAGCAGCTGCAGAGCGGAGGGCAGCAGGAGCTGCAGAGCGGAGGGCAGCAGCAGCTGCAGAGCGGAGGGCAGCAGCAGCTGCAGAGCGGAGGGCAGCAGCAGCTGCAGAGCGGAGGGCAGCAGCAGCTGCAGAGCGGAGGGCAGCAGCAGCTGCAGAGCGGAGGGCAGCAGCAGCTGCAGAGCGGCGGGCAGCAGGAGCTGCAGAGCGGAGGGCAGCAGCAGCTGCAGAGGGGAGGGCAGAAGGAGCTGCAGAGCGGAGGGCAGCAGCAGCTGCAGAGCGGAGGGCAGCAGCAGCTGCAGAGCGGAGGGCAGCAGCAGCTGCAGAGCGGAGGGCAGCAGGAGCTGCAGAGCGGAGGGCAGCAGCATCTGCAGAGCGGAGGGCAGCAGGAGCTGCAGAGCGGAGGGCAGCAGCAGCTACAGAGCGGAGGGCAGCAGCAGCTGCAGAGCGGAGGGCAGCAGCAGCTGCAGAGCGGAGGGCAGCAGCAGCTGCAGAGCGGAGGGCAGCAGCAGCTGCAGAGCGGAGGGCAGCAGCAGCTGCAGAGCGGAGGGCAGCAGCAGCTGCAGAGCGGCGGGCAGCAGGAGCTGCAGAGCGGAGGGCAGCAGCAGCTGCGGAGTGGAGGGCAGCAGGAGCTGCAGAGCGGAGGGCAGCAGCAGCTGCAGAGCGGAGGGCAGCAGCAGCTGCAGAGCGGAGGGCAGCAGCAGCTGCAGAGCGGAGGGCAGCAGGAGCTGCAGAGCGGAGGGCAGCAGGAGCTGCAGAGCGGAGGGCAGCAGCAGCTGCAGAGCGGAGGGCAGCAGCAGCTGCAGAGCAGAGGGGAGCAGGAGCTGCAGAGCGGAGGGCAGCAGGAGCTGCAGAGCGGAGGGCGGCAGCAGCTGCAGAGTGGAGGGCAGCAGCAGCTGCAGGGCGGAGGGCAGCAGCAGCTGCAGAGCGGAGGGCAGCTGCAGCTGCAGAGCGGATGGCAGCAGCAGCTGCAGAGTGGAGGGCAGCAGGAGATGCAGAGCGGAGGGCAGCAGCAGCTGCGGAGCGGAGGGCAGCAGCATTTGCAGAGAGGAGGGCAGCAGGAGCTGCAGAGCGGAGGGCAGCAGCAGCTGCAGAGCGGAGGGCAGCAGCAGCTGCAGAGCGGAGGGCAGCAGCAGCTGCAGAGTGGAGGGCAGCAGCAGCTGACCAGCGGAGGTCAGCAGGAGCTGCAGAGCGGAGGGCAGCAGCAGCTGCAGAGCGGAGGGCAGCTGCAGCTGCAGAGCAGAGGGATGGAGCTTGCAAGGCCGTCAGAGGGGGGCATGGAGACGGAGTCGAGCAGGAGGGTCTTGCTGGCATGTTCGAGTGGAGAGGAGCACCCAGACCCTAGACTGACACCCCCGCCCCGCATCCCGTGCGAAACCTGTTATCGCACGTTCACGGAGAGAGGAAAGGCCACACGCCATATGTCGGCCTGCAGGGCAGCGGACGCCCAGCGTCGCGCTCAGGCGCTTGGGTTGACCCGTGACGTCACAGACGACTCGGACGGCGAACCCCCGCCACCACGTGATATCAGTGAAGAGGTGTGGGCCGCAGTTCCTACATGGGACTGGGAGTCGTTTTTTGGGATCGAATTGGTGCCAGGGAGAATCATGCGTCGTATCCCACAGCGCGCTAGACTGGGGGTGCTTGATGCACTATCTTGTGTCCTGAAGCGGCTACAGTCAAAGGCAGCAGACGAGGCAGCATCCTTGGTCTTTTTGGCCTTCCCTCGTCTTATCTTGGGGATTCCAACCGGGCAAGGCCAGGGGCATAGGGCGGCAATCAGGGAGCGGTTGGAGAAGTTTTGGGCCGGGGAGTGGCGGGAGCTGTTTGAGTTGGCGGTGGCGGCAATGCAACCTGCGGCTCGTCCTTTGTCCTTCACCCCCCCCGAGCATGACCCTGATGCAGTGCGCCTGGCTCGCTGCCGCACAAGGTGCAAAGTGGGAGAATGGAGTCGGGGTTTGGCGTGTCTTACTGCTGGTAGCATCGCTCAGCCCTCTCAGCACATGGTGGACGCGATACGAGCGAAACATCCATCGAGCGAGACCGCCATTCCGGAGTGGGTGCACGAGGAGATTGTTGAGCCTTCCCTTATCCCGCAGCTCTCAGTGGAGGTACTTGGTCAGGCGATCCACTCTGCGGCTAGGGCGTCGGCACCAAGACCGTCGGGGTGGGTGACGGAGCACCTGCGCGACACTTTTCTCTCTGAGCCCGCATACCTGCCTCACCTGCTAGGGGTCTTCACCCAGTGGACCAAGGGAGAGGTAGCGGAACGCGTGCGACCCTGGCTCACTGCGTCCAACCTTGTGGGCCTGTCGAAGCCGAATGGAGACGTTCGCCCGGTAGCTATAGGCGAGGTGCTCCCCCGCATACTATCTCGGGCCCTATGCATCGTGCTTCGGCCGAAGATGATGTCGCACTTTGCGCCGTGCAACCAGCTTGGAGTCGGATCCAGGTCGGGAGTGGAAATCCTCGCACATGCCTTTCGTTCTGCCATCTCTACTCACCCGTCATGGTGCGCGCTTCAAATTGACGTGGCGAACGCTTTCAACTCCTTCCATCGGCGGGAAATGTTTGAAGGTCTTCGACAGTCGCCTTTCGCGGGATTGATCCCATTTCTTTGTGTCTTCTACGGCACTCCTAGCGACCTCTACCTCCATGCGGGCCCCTTCGTCGAAGCTTTGGCTTCAGAGCGAGGCTCGAGGCAAGGGGACCCATTGGGGCCGTTTCTATTCGCGTTCACACAGCAGCTGGTTATGGAACCAACCAAACTAGAATTCGCCGATCTACTCTTTCTCAGCTACGCCGATGATACGTACATCTTGGGGCCTAGGGAGCGGGTGCTAGCAGCCTATGAGGTCTTGCGGGAACGATTGAACGGGCTTGGTCTGGAGGTGCAGCCGCATAAGTGCAAGCTATGGGAGCGAGGGGTGAACCAGGAGGGAGAGGAGAGGAACGAGACCGTCCCGCCCGGCATGCAGCAAACATGGACGGGGCTCACTGTAGTAGGGGTTCCTATTGGGGAGGAGGAGTGGGAGGTGGCTAGCCTGCGAGGCCGGCTGACGCAGCTGCATGCACCTGTCCCTTGGCTTCCTTTGCTTGACCACCCACAGATTGCGTCCCATTTGCTGGCGATCGCAGTGTCAGCGCGCCCGATTTACCTCACACGGACGATGCCTCCACGACCTGAGGTTGTGGAAGCTTTCCGCGACTGGGACACGAAGCTTGAGGATTGCTTTGAGCAGCTGTTTCCAGATAGCACCTGGGATCACGATTCGGCAAGGTCGCAGATGGCCCGTCTACAGTTGCACCTTCCTGCCAGACTTGGAGGGTTTGGCATTCGATCTGCTGCTGACCTTAGTCCCCTGTCGTACGCATGTGGTTGGTGCCAGGCAGTGAGCGACGTGGCTCGGATGGGGGTGGCAGGGGAGGAGCGGATGTTTGAGGAGTTTTTCCGCACGCCCGAGGCTACGACCTTGCTGGATCCTTGGTTCGCGAGAGCAGTGGAGCTGCTTCCACAGTCGGTCAGGCAGGAGATGCCACCCCTTGCCTTATGTACCGCTGACCCCCCCGTGCTGCTTTTCCCCACACAACACCGTCGCCTAGCAGTTGAGAGTCTGCAGACTCTTCGGGGTATGGCCCACGACGACGCCACCCTGGCCCGTTTGACATCCCTTCAGGGCCCGGGGGCAGGGGCGTGGGTCTCCGCCGTTCCTTCGCACGAAGAGGCTACCTTCACCGTAGCCGAGTGGAGCATCTGTGCGTCCATGCGCCTAGGCCTCCCCAAACAGCAGCTGATAGTCGCCGGCAAGTGCGCGTGTGGGTTTGAGTTTGCTGATCCCTCTGACCCGCATCATGCCCTTCGCTGCAAGTACCAGTACGCACCTTCTCGTGTTCACGACGCGGTTAAGTTTGTGGTGGCGAAGATAGCTAAAGGGGCGGGTGGGGTCGTGACCATGGAAGACGACACGTTACTGCCAGGGAAGAGGGTGGATGTGGCGGTTCGGAGACTGAGGGAGGGGGAGGAGCATGCGCTGGAGGTTAGTGTGGTGGACCCTATCTCGTTGTCTGCGCAACACCATGGACAGATTGGCCGCAAGGTGGGCTTTGCCGCTAGAGAGAGGGAGAAGCGGAAGGCGGCGGACTACAAATTGCTTCTGCAGCGGCATAGGGGCGTGCAGTTTACACCTCTCATTGCTGAGACATGGGGTTGCCTGGGGGGGAGTTTTGGGCGGTGGCTTAAGAAACAGGGCGACGCGCAGATTGAGGTAGCGAAGACGAAAGGGGCGGCGAGAGCTACGGGAAAAGGTTTCTCGGCTTACTTGCTTGGATCACTTAAAGCGGCCATAGGCGCGGCTTTGCAGCGAGCTCAGGCGCGTGTGATCTTGTTACGCGCGGCGTCGATGATGAGAGGCCCAGAGGCTGTTTCGGTGGAGCGGGAGGATTTTGAGGAGGAGATGGGATGGGATGCTCCGTGGGCGGATGCGCCCTATTTGGTGGACATGCGGGTTTAGAGGGTGGGTTTAAGTGGGGGGGGGTTTTGGGTAGATGGGGCGTATTGTTGGGGTGTCTCGTTGGGGTGTCTTGTGGGGTTCCTTATGTGCTGTGCTATTGGGGTTTTCTTGAGGCCGCGTTTTCCGTTTTTCTTTCATTTTTCCCTATTTTTCTTCCTCCTCTCTTCTACCACTCTTTCTCTTTTTCTCCTCTCCTTCCGTGCCCACCAATAACCTTGCGTAGCTTTGTATATCAAGAATCTGAAGCAGGATATTCAGCAAATTTTTTGCCAGCGCCTCAGATCCTTCCGTTCTCCCGCTGTCAACTCAAAATTTCTCCGCTGACTTGGATTCTTGAATTTGAGCACCTGCTCTACTCTGCTCCCTCTGCCTGTGCGCTACGTTCCGTTTCCCTTCCCAACTGTCAATTCGAACTCCTCCTCCTGCTCTCTCTGCCATTTTCTCCCAACCCACCATCGCCAGCTATCATCCAGCCATCGCATTTTACTAACACCCAGCCGTCGCCTCTCCCTCTTATCCCGTAGTCGCCCCTCCCTCCTACCCTGCCGTCGCAATTCCCTCCCATCCCGCCGCCACCTCTCACCCCGTCATCGCCTCTCACTCCCACCCCCCTGTCGCCTCTCCCTCACTCCCCGCCATCGCCACTCCCTCCTATCCCGCCATCTCCACTACCTCCCACCCCGCCGTCGACACTCCCTCTTATCCCGCCGCCGTCTCTTCTCCCATCCGGCCGCCGCCTCTCCCTCCTCCCCACCGTCGCCTCTCCCTCCTCCCCGCCGTCGCCTTTCCTTTCTCCCCGCCATCGCCTCTCCCTCCTCCCCGCCGTCGCCTCTCCCTCCTCCCCGCCGTCGCCTTTCCTTACTCCCCGCCGTCGCCTCTCCCTCCTCCCCGCCGTCGCCTCTCCCTCCTCCCCGCCGTCGCCTCTCCCTCCTCCCCGCCGTCGCCCCTCCTTTCCTCCCCGCCGTCGCCTCTCCCTCCTCCCCGCCGTCGCCTCTCCCTCCTCCCCGCCGTCGCCTCTCCCTCCTCCCCGCCGTCGCCTCTCCTTTCCTCCCCGCCGTCGCCTCTCCCTCCTCCCCGCCGTCGCCTCTCCCTCCTCCCCGCCGTCGCCTCTCCTTTCCTCCCCGCCGTCGCCTCTCCCTCCTCCCCGCCGTCGCCTCTCCCTCCTCCGCGCCGTCGCCTCCTTCTCTCCTCGTCGTCGCCTCTTTTCCCCTCCCCGCCGTCGCCTCTCCCTCCTCCGCGCCGTCGCCTCCGGCGGCAGGTGCACGAGCGCAAGCGCGAGTGTTGGTGCGCGAGCGCGGGTTGGTGCGCCAGCGCGGGTTGTTTTCTGAAACACCGTGATTATCAGGTGCGTTCCCGGTCCTTTCATCCTCCCTTCCCCCACTGAATTCTCCTCCCCCCCTCCCTCCCCTCTTTTTTGTTGTCTTTGCTCTCTTCGTAAAGTTTTTGTGTAGATTGGTCTGCTCTCGCATTGCACTTTCATTTGAAGAAGGGGAGAGACGGAGCGCGAGGGAGAGCATGTACACGGGAGCGAACACGCAGAAAAGCGCGCGTGAGAGTGCGCGTGAGAGAGTGCACGAGAGAGCGCACGAGAGAGCACGTGAGGGAGCGCGTGAGAGAGCGCGTGCGAGTGAGAGTGTTCCTGAGAGTGCGCGTGATAGAGCGCGTGAGAGAGCGCACGCGCGTAATGGAGCGCGTGCGCGTGAGAGAGCGCATGCGCGTAATGGAGCGCGTGCGCGTGAGAGAGCGCGTGCGCGTAATGGAGCGCGTGCGCGTGAGAGAGCGCGTGCGCGTGAGAGTGCGCATGCGCGTGAGAGAGCTCGTGAGAGTGCGCGTGAGAGAGCGCGTGAGAGTGCGGATGAGAGTGCGCGTGAGGGAGCGCGTGAGAGTGCGAGTGAGAGTGCACGTGAGAGTGCACGTGAGAGTGCAAGTGAGAGTGCGCTTGAGTGAGTGCGTGAGAGAGAGCACGTGAGGGAGCACGTGGGAGAGCGCGTGGGAGAGCGCGTGAGAGAGCGCGTGAGACGCGTGAGAGAGAGCGCGTGAGAGAGAGTGCGTGAGAGAGCGCGTGAGAGAGCACGTGAGGGAGTGCATTGAGAGTGCGCGTGAGAGAGCGCGTGAGAGAGCGTGTGAGAGAGCACGTGAGGGAGCGCGTGAGAGAGCGCGCGAGGGAGCGCGTGAGAGAGCGCGTGAGGGAGCGCGTGAGAGAGCGCGTGAGAGAGCGCGTAAAAGCGCGCGCGAGAGCGCACGTGAGAGATGGCGTGAGAGAGCGCGTGAGAGTGCGTGAGAGAGTGCGTGAGAGAGAGCGTGAGAGAGCGCGTGAGAGCGCATGAGAGTTCGCGTGAGAGAGCGCGAGAGGGAGCGCGTGAGAGAGAGCATGAGAAAGAGCATGAGAGGGCGCGTGAGAGAGCGCGTGAGAGAGCGCGTGAGAGAGCGCGTGAGAGTGCGTGTGATAGAGCGCGTGAGAGAGCGCATGAGAGAGTGCGTGAGAGACGCGTGAAAGCGTGCGTGAAAGCGTGCGTGAGAGAGCGCGTAAGAGAGCGCGTGAGAGAACGCGTGAGAGAGCGTGTTAGAGAATGCGTGAGAGAGCACATGAGAGAGCGCGTGAGAGTGCGCGTGAGAGAGCGCGTGAGAGAGCGTGGAGAGAGCGCGTGAGAGAGCGCGTGAGAGACGCGTGAAAGCGCGCGTGAGAGCGCACTTGAGAGAGGGCGTGAGAGAGCACGTGAGAGAACGCGTGAGAGAAAGTGTGAGAGAGCGCGTGAGGGAGCGCGTGAGAGCGCGTGAGAGATTGCGTGAGAGAGTGTGTGAGAGCGCGTGAGAGAGCGCGTGAGAGTGCGTGAGAGAGTGCGTGAGAGAGTGCGTGAGAGAACGCACGAGAGAGCTTTATGAGCACGCTGGGGCATATGCACTAGCATCTATTCTGCTGGTGCTTGGGCAGCTGGGACTAATGCAAACGAGTGTCGCTTTCTGCACTAGTGTTTAGGGTGTCGGCTTCTAAGGTGTTTTCTTCTCTGTTTTTGCTGTGTGCAGGCCGTGTGTGTGTTTGCTTCTCTGTTTTTGCTGTGTGCAGGCCGTGTGTGTGTTTGCTTCTCTGTTTTTTCTGTGTGCAGGCCGTGTGTGTGTTTGCTTCTCTGTTTTTGCTGTGTGCAGGCCGTGTGTGTGTTTGCTTCTCTGTTTTTTCTGTGTGCAGGCCGTGTGTGTGTTTGCTTCTCTGTTTTTGCTGTGTGCAGGCCGTGTGTGTGAACTTCTCTGTTTTCGCTTTGTGCAGGGCGCGTGAGCTGAGAAGGGAGATGAGGGAGGGAGTGGGAGTGAGATGAGTGAAGGAGGGACGGAGGGGTGTAGGGAGGGAGGGGAATGGGGGGCAAGGTAGCGATGGTTTATTAATTGGTGAACTTCATTGGCTATGCTTGCATGCTTAGTATTAGCTGTATGTTTCTGCGTGTTTTTCTCTCTGCGTATGTGTGTGCGTACATGTAGGCTATGTAGTTGTGTGTCTCTGTTTCGGGGTGAGTGCTAAGTGCCTCGTGTATACAATTGCGGTTGTCCATACCAGATCAATCGCAGTTGCATTAACGATGCATTCTAGCATTAGCTTCGAAGCACTCACAACTGGTGTTTCTCGTTTTTGTACAAGTTCGTGTGCTGTCGTTTGGGTCTGTTTTGGGGTGGTGCTAAATGCATCATTTATGCAACAGGGGTTGTCATCGTCGGTGGGGCAGCTTTACTCGCCTTTTCCGTACCATATCAATCTCAGTTGCAGCATTGATGCATTTAGTATTTGCCTCGAAATGTTCAAAATTCCAGCATGTGGTTTTTGTACACGTTCGTGTCCAACCAATTGTTCCATTCGCCGTACTTATCGACGACTATGGAATTATTGGTTACATTTGGTTTCACATTCTTGGGGCAACTAAAAAGTTGAACAGTATTTTTTTCCCAAACGGGCAAGGAAAAATCACTGTTCACGGTCAGTTCCCCAAAAAGTGAAACCAAATGTATAAGGTTGCTACGCAACCCAAAAATGACGGCATCAGAATGGCCACGGCATCGGGAAGCGGGGCCGGAACCCTCCCAGGAGGTTTGGGCGAAATGCCACTCCCGAAATTTCCCGCCCCGAAATGGGAAACGTGACAACCACATATGGAACCTGCCTCCCCACCTTCCCCCAAATGGCCCAAACAGCCAATGACGTCGCCATCCCACTGCAGTCCTCCGTGAAATGGTGGATTGCCATGGGATGGCATGTGACTCTCGTTTGCCCGGGGAAGAAATTACTTCCCCATTTCCGAATGCCATGATGCCGTCCGAAATTTGAGAAAAGTGAGGGCGTTCGACAGGCACCAAAGATTCCATTTGGGTCGGGCGGCATGAGAGGCTCGGCAGCATATTTACGGGCTGACCAACCTGACGGAGCTTAACGAACCCTAACTGACGGGATCAGGAAGGCGAGACTGACCTTCCTGATCCCGTCGTTTTCCCGTCGTTTTTGCTTTCAAAGGTGCTGGGCCGTTTTCTCCCCACCCCCCTCGATCACCATTTACCTCAAGTAACAGACGCGCACTGTACAGGTGGACCACAAACCATGGTTTACGTGGAGTTTCTGCTTGGGCGCTTACGAGCGTTTTCATTGGTCCGCTGTCTCAGACAGATATGGCGATAGATCGGGAGATGTGTGGGGCTTGTTGCCAACCAACACTACGCACGCAATCGCCTTTGCGCGAAAATGTCGGTTGATTGTTGCCACGTCATCCAAGTATCGGTAACTCTTTATGTAACCAATTTGCAGTCATGCCATTTATGGAACAGTTTTACTATGTGCTTTGTTTTTGTTTTTGCTGTTCGTTTTTGCTAACTTTTTTTGTTACCACAAGAGTTTAATAATGTGTTATTAACATTGATAAATTTTTAACACAGTTCCAACATGTAATTATTATATCATGACTTGTACAATTATACTAATGTTTTGATTACATTTATCCATCGTGTAAAAGTTATTGTTATGAATGTGTACTGTGTTGTGAGTAATGTTATGGTGATATTGTAGATGTAGTTACAGGTTTTATATGTGGTTTGGTTGTTTTAACATATACATGTTCCCTGTCTTGTAACGAAGCTAGTTATGGATAAGCAATTTTTGTTGTTTGTTTCTAAACAAATAATTCTCTCCCAAAATGCCCTGCATCTCACGGTTCATCAATTCGCCAACAGAACGCGTTTCGGGTCCACAATTATTGGTGCATCTCGTATGAATCGTGCAGGAACGCTGTACACCGTATAATAGAAACATTGTACCCCACGTCACCGCTTTGAACCCCATTATACCGCGCTGTCAAAGAAAGCCCCATTCGTGCGCGACTCCGTCACTCCTCCCTCCACACTCCACCCATCCCAGAGATTCACTCCATAATTCACTCGACATCTAGGCAACTCTGTGTTCAGAAACGTGAATCTGGCTTCCATTGTAGAGATAACGCAACAACCGTCTGTCGCCTTAGCAGCCGCGTCGCGCTAAGCTGCGACGAATCTGCAGCAGCTGAAGCAACGGCGATACCCATGGTTTTGAATCTACACTGATTTCCCGCGCAATTTACTGCTTCACTGTGTGCACCATCGTCACGACACCTGCGGTGCGTCATCAATACCCTAGCTCAAACTGGAACTGCCCGCAGCCATAGAGCTCCAAGCGGCGTCACTGCGTCGCCGCCGCAAGAGAATTTAAGGCCGGGCGAACACCATAAGCTGCTAAATCTGATTTTCCGGCGAATTGCACGACAGCAATCCGAGAAGAGACCCCGCAAAAGACCTGGACATTGGCGAAAGCGGATCATCGGCGACACGGACTGCAACACGATAAGCTGTGACAAGCACGGCATAGAGAGGCGGCGTAGGGGGAGGCGGTGCCTCTCTCTTTTGACGGAGCTTGGCGCAACAAGCGACGTGACGCCGTCGCGAAAGGACCAGAGAGAGGGCACATACGTGTCCACGACTCGAAAAGGTGAGCTCTCTGACGGCAATTTTACCTCCCTCCCTTTCACGAGCCTAACGCCCCACATAGTGCTCACGCCTTGTCAATCCTGAGTTGTAGACGCCGGCAACTGCATCAGGAAATCCGCGTTAGACATTGACGTGACGTGAATGAACATAGCATAGGGAAGTAGCATGTATGTTCTTTACCGCTCCCCGACTCTCTCTCTCTCTGCCCCCCTCCCTTGCTCTCTCTCTCTCTCTCTCTCTCTCTCTCTCTCTCTCTCTCTCTCTCTCTCTCTCTCTCTCTCTCTCTCTCTCTCTCTCTCTCTCTCTCTCTCTCTCTCTCTCTCTCTCTCTCTCTCTCTCTCTCTCTCTACGCCTCCCGTGCTCTCTCTATCTCCCCGCCTCGCATGCTCTCTCTCTCTCTCTCTCCGTCTCCTTTGCTCGAGCTCTCTCCGCCTTCCTTGCTTTCTGTCTCTATACATTTCGGTTGCACTCTCGCTCTCTTCCCCGCCGTAGCTCTCTCAATCTCTCCGCCTCCCTTGCTCTCTCTCTCTCTATGTCCCCCTCGCTTGCTCTCTCTCTCTCTCTGTCCCCCTCGCTTGCTCTATCTCTCTCTCTGTCCCCCTCCCTTGCTCTCTCTCTCTCTATCTCTCCGCCTACCCCGCATTCTCGCTCGCTGCCGCATTCTCTCTCTCGCTCGCTGCCGCATTCTCTCTCTCGCCCTGCCGCAATCTCTCTCTCTCGCTCTGCCGCATTCTCTCTCTCTCTCGCTCTGCCGCATTCTCTCTCTCTCGCTCTGCCGCATTCTCTCTCTCTCGCGATGCCGCATTCTCGCTCGCTGCCGCATTCTCTCTCTCGTCCTGCCGAATTCTCTCTCTCGCTCTGCCGCATTCGCTCACTCTCGCTCTGCCGCATTCTCTCCCTCTATCGCTCTGTCACATTCTCTCCCTCTCTCTCTCTCACGCCCTGCCGCATTCTCTCTCACGCCCTGCCGCATTCTCTCTCGCTGTCCCCCTCCCCTGCTGTTTATCCTTCTCCGCCTCCCTTGCTCTCTATCTCTCTGTCCCCCTCCCTTGCTCTCTATCCTTCTCCGTCTCCCTTGCTCTCTCTCTCTCTGTCCCCCTCCCTTGCTCTCTATCCTTCTCCGCCTCCCTTGCTCTCTCTCTCTCTGTCCCCCTCCCTTGCTCTTTATCCTTCTCCGCCTCCCTTGCTCTCTCTCTCTCTGTCCCCCTCCCTTGCTCTCTATCCTTCTCCGCCTCCCATGCTCTCTCTCTCTCTCTGTCCCCCTCCCTTGCTCTCTATCCTTCTCCGCCTCACTTGCTCTCTATCTCTCTGGCCCCCTCCCTTGCTCTTTATCCTTCTCCGCCTCCCTTGCTCTCTCTCTCTCTGTCCCCCTCCCTTGCTCTCTATCCTTCTCCGTCTCCCTTGCTCTCTCTCTCTCTGTCCCCCTCCCTTGCTCTCTATCCTTCTCCGCCTCACTTGCTCTCTATCTCTCTGTCCCCCTCCCTTGCTCTTTATCCTTCTCCGCCTCCCTTGCTCTCTCTCTCTCTGTCCCCCTCCCTTGCTCTCTATCCTTCTCCGCCTCCCTTGCTCTCTCTCTCTCTGTCCCCCTCCCTTGCTCTCTATCCTTCTCCGCCTCACTTGCTCTCTATCTCTCTGTCCCCCTCCCTTGCTCTTTATCCTTCTCCGCCTCCCTTGCTCTCTCTCTCTCTGTTCCCCTCCCTTGCTCTCTATCCTTCTCCGCCTCACTTGCTCTCTATCTCTCTGTCCCCCTCCCTTGCTCTTTATCCTTCCCCGCCTCCCTTGCTCTCTCTCTCTCTGTCCCCCTCCCTTGCTCTCTATCCTTCTCCGCCTCCCTTGCTCTCTCTCTCTCTCTGTCCCCCTCCCTTGCTCTCTATCCTTCTCCGCCTCCCTTGCTCTCTATCTCTCTGTCCCCCTCCCTTGCTCTCTATCCTTCTCCGCCTCCCTTGCTCTCTCTCTCTCTCTCTCTCTCTCTCTCTCTCTCTCTCTCTCTCTCTCTCTCTCTCTCTCTCTGTCCCCCTCCCTTGATCTCCACCATGTGCTCTTTCTCACTCTCATTGTCTTACCCTTGCGCTCTCTCCCTCTTTATCATGTCGGTTGATCATGCAGGGGGGCGACTGTTCCATCACCGCACTTGGCGTCATCCCTTGTGACAGTCCAGTACACTCCAGATTCGTCAAGGTATTCCAACCCGCTTGCGCTCCTCCTCAACCCCTTTCTCTCTGCCCCATCTGCAATCACACTGCCCCATCTGCAATCACTCTGCCCCATCTGCAATCACACTGCCCCATCTGCAATCACACTGCCCCATCTGCAATCACTCTGCCCCATCTGCAATCACACTGCCCCATCTGCAATCACACTGCCCCATCTGCAATCGCTCTGCCCCATCTGCAATCACTCTGCCCCATCTGCAATCACTCTGCCCCATCTGCAATCACTCTGCCCCATCTGCAATCACTCTGCCCCATCTGCAATCACTCTGCCCCATCTGCAATCACTCTGCCCCATCTGCAATCACTCTGCCCCATCTGCAATCACTCTGCCCCATCAGCATTCTCTCTGCCCCATCTGCAATCACTTTGGAATCTCTGCATTTTCATTCCACCAATCTGCATTCTCTCTGCCCCATTCGCTCCCTCTCTGCCCAAACCTCCCTTCCTCTGCCCCATCCGCCTTCTCTCTGCCCATTCCTCGCATTCTCAGCCCCAACCGCTTTATCTCTGCCCAATCCCCGCCCTCTCTGCCCCATCTTCTCCCCCCAATTTCAGATGAACTACCTCTGCCCCAACTGCAAGCGATTCTCCTTTTTGACCCGGGCTGGCATGGAGAGTCACATGCGCGGTTCAACCTGCCCTGCCAACATTGCCATGTCGCATCAACCCTACTTCACAAGCAACCATAGCTTGCACAAGCGTCCCCGCCACCAACCCATGGCCCCCAATCCCATTCCCAACGCAGTCGCTTCGAGTTCTGTCCCTCCCACAACATCGCCTCAAGATGTTCCAGTTTTTCCTCAACCTATGGAATGCACGGTCGGGAATGTTCCGCCAGTCGACAATACGAACAGCAGTGCCTCTTCCTCGTGCAGTTCTAGTGATGCTGAAAATGCAAGCCTGCCTTGTGATGCGGATGATTATGTTGCGCATGATGACCACCCCGGAGTGGTCGGAGAGGTTGAGCAAGTTGAGTCATCATCCGAACCACCATTCAACGGCAAGGACGCACTTGCCCATTGGTTGTTGGCGAACAACATATCCCAAAAGGCAATCAAGGCATTGTTTGGCATACTCTTCCACCAAGCATTTCAACTCTCGCAGATGGTTGGATGGAAGTCGGCGCGGGATGTCCAACAATACCTTGAATCACGTGCGCCAGATACGCATCGAGGTTGGAGACGCAAGACCGTGCGCGCGGGAAACAAGGCCTGGGTCGAGTATTGGTATTGTGATGGCCTTGTTGCGTTGCAGGACCTGTTGAAACACCCGAAACTGGCTTCCAAGATGAGCATGGAATCACGTGTCGTTATGGACGGGGACACGCGGGTGTTTTCTACTCCAGAAACGGCTTTGTGGTGGGAGACACTCCAAGAGAAGATACGAGAAGTCAACGGGCAGGGTTTGGTGGCCGCACTCATTCTTGCAAGTGACGAGACACATATGGATCAGAGAGGGAAGGCTAAGGGTCATCCAGTGTATCTCACACTTGGGAATATTGACAAGGAGGACAGGTGGAAGCCGTATGGGCATGTTTTGCTTGCTTTGCTCCCTGAATACCCCCAAGAATATGAGTCTCTAGATAAGACGCAAGTGTTTCATTATATTATGAATGAGGTGATGGCGGGGTTGAAGCGTGCATCCCATACCGGTGTAAATCTGGTGGATGCGGAGGGCAAGGTTATCAATGTTTGGCCATCCATGTATGCACATGTTACAGATTACCCCGAGTCGTGCAAAGTAACATGCACAAAGTCGGGTACGACGTTGTTTCCTTGCTCACTATGCAAGGTGCCAAAGGAGAAGCTGTCGAAGCTTGCCGACCGCATCGACGCACGCACGCCATCGGAGCAACGTGCCGTTGTCAACCTGGTGGCTACACAGACCATCAAGCACGACTCCGCAGAGTCACTATCGACCCACCCTGTACAGGTATGGTATACTCTTGGTTTTGGCCCATTTGTATGATGAACGACGCCTAACTATCCTGATATTGTCTCTTGCAGAGCTACCTATGGGGATGGCGATGGGAGGCGGAGAGTTTGCTAAACCCTTACCTTGCCGTGCTTCCCGATATCATGCACCAGGCTGACCTAGGCATTTTTGAGCACATAGTTGATAGCATACGCGCGCACATTAAGGAGTTCTTTCCTGCAAAGATGAAGTTGCTAGATCAGCGGCTAAAAGATATTAGAAAGTCATTGAGGGGGGGGTGCATGAGGTTGCCGTCGGGAGAATATTTTGCAAAGGGGGCAAACTACCAAGCCTACGAGCATCGTTCAGTGATGCAAGTTCTACCTTTCATAGCGAAAGGGTGCATTAACGACGATCAGATGAAGGCGTTGGTGTCATACGTCGAGTGGTATTTGGAGTGTGCACGAGCGGGCGAGCGCAGCGATAAAAGTCTGCCCGAATTGAAGACCAAGGCACACCGGTGAGTGGTGTTCTCTGCAATGCATGACACGTCTTTTTCATTCACCCTCCATGCAAAATCTGATCCACTCACTCTTTCTTGTGCAGGATGATACACGGCTTGACGACGCATTTCAAGCAGGCATCCGATTGGAACTTCATCAAAATGCACCTGATTAGCCACTTCATAGATTCGATCCGTCGTGCAGGATTGCCAGAGCACTACTCCGCCCAACTCTACGAGCACTTGCACATAGAGTTCATCAAAACACCATATCGCGCATCTAACAAGCGCACAGTGAACGCACAGGTTGTACAGAGCGAGGAGCAGCGCTTGCGGTTGCAAGCAATCGCACCCATGCTCAAAGCGAAGAAGATGTACGACACAGCGATGATGAAGGTGCGAGTCTAGTGGTTATTCTGTCTTGTCATTTGCATCCATCGTTCTTTAACACTGGCTAACGTGGTGGTAGAATCCCAATTACCCCCGCAGGCACAAAGGACGGGCGTGCGAGTGCTCTCGCGGCGATCCTGGCTCCTCCACGTGCCCCGCGGCAGGGAGGCGGCACCCTTCTGCATCCTGAATGCGCCACAGATGAATCGTGATGCGATGCTCGAGAAGGAGATTGGTGCTGATCTAAAACACCTGCGGACGGCGCTGAACGCAGCCCCTGGGTGCAACAACAAGGGCGAGGACATCAAAAGCATACAGGTACGTAAACATAGTCAAGCTGATAGCAACGAATCACCATGTCCCATCATTGTGTGATGTGTATGGTTCTAACCCGCACATGTCTGTTTGTGTGTTGGCGTCAGGTACATTGGGAAATGGCCATGCCGGCAGCGGTCGACGCACAGTACAGCCGACTGCCTCATCGAGTGCGTGCCCTGCCGAGACACCATGGCCGGCCATGGTATTCAGACGTGGCTGTGAAGGGGGAGACAGAGGCTGGCATGGAGGAGTGGTATGCGAAGGTCCTACTGTTGTTTCACTGCAAGGTGGATGGGAGGACGAAGGAGTACGCATACCTTAAGTACTATGACGTGCAGCCCGCATTAGATAGCTGTACCGAGTGCAAGCGCCTGAAGTGGCCACCACTGGCCGCTAGGTATCAGGTGATTGAGATACATAGCATCAAGCGGGCTGTGCATCTAGTTCAGCTTGATAGGGCTGTAGATGTGTGGTTACTGAACCGTTTCGCATGGTGATGCACAACCCGACAATCGATTGTACTGTGCTTGGATAGGCCTTACACTCGTGGTGCATGTTTGTGCATTTGCTGGCCCGAATATGTGCAAGGATAGGCCTGCGCGCAACATGTCACTGCGCCAACGTCTAAACCCATTTTTTACCACTATTTCTTCACACAGTTCTCTACTACATCCCATTCCCTAGACATAGGAACTGATTTGATCTAACTCGCACAACTACGCAGCTCGTGGTGCATGTTTGTGCATTTCCTGGCCCGAATCTGTGCAAGGATAGGCCTGCGCGCAACATGTCACTGCGCCAACGTCTAAACGCCTTTTTTACCACTATTTCTTCACACAGTTCTCTACTACATCCCATTCCCTAGACATAGGAACTGGTTTGACCTCGTTCGCACAACTACGCAGCTCGTGGTGCATGTTTGTGCATTTGCTAGCCTGAATCTGTGCAAGGATAGGCTTGCGCGCAACATGTCACTGCGCCAACGTCTAAACGCCTTTTTTACCACTATTTCTTCACACACTTCTCTACTACATCCAATTACCTAGACATAGGAACTGGTTTGACCTCGTTCGCACAACTATGCAGCTCGTGGTGCATGTTTGTGCATTTGCTAGCCTGAATCTGTGCAAGGATAGGCCTGCGCGCAACATCTCACTGCGCCAACATCTAAACGCCTTTTTTACCACTATTTCTTCACACACTTCTCTACTACATCCAATTTCCTAGACATAGGAACTGATTTCATCTCGTTAGCACAACTGTGCAGCTCGTGGTGCATGTTTGTGCATTTGCTAGCCTGAATCTGTGCAAGGATAGGCCTGCGCGCAACATGTCACTGCACCAACGTCTAAACCCCTTTTTTACCACTATTTCTTCACACAGTTCTCTACTACATCCAATTCCCTAGACATAGGAACTGGATTGATCTCGTTAGCACAACTATGCAGCTCGTGGTGCATGTTTGTGCATTTGCTAGCCTGAATCTGTGCAAGGATAGGCCTGCGCGCAACATGTCACTGCGCCAACGTCTAAACGCCTTTTTTACCACAATTTCTTCACACAGTTCTCTACTACATCTAATTTCCTAGACATAGGAACTGGTTTGACATCGTTAGCACAACTATGCAGCTCGTGGTGCATGCTTGTGCATTTGCTAGCCTGAATCTGTGCAAGGATAGGCCTGCGCGCAACATGTCACTGCGCCAACATCTAAACGCCATTTTTACCACAATTTCTTCACACACTTCTCTACTACATCCAATTCCCTAGACATAGGAACTGGTTTGACCTCGTTAGCACAACTATGCAGCTCGTGGTGCATGTTTGTGCATTTGCTAGCCTGAATCTGTGCAAGGATAGGCCTGCGCGCAACATGTCACTGCGCCAACGTCTAAACGCCTTTTTTACCACAATTTCGTCACACACTTCTCTACTACATCCAAATCCCTAGACATAGGAACTGGTTTGACCTCGTTCGCAGAATAAAGCAGCTCGTGGTGCATGTTTGTGCATTTGCTAGCCTGAATCTGTGCAAGGATAGGCCTGCGCGCAACATCTCACTGCGCCAACGTCTAAACGCCTTTTTTACCACTATTTCTTCACACAATTCTCTACTACATCCAATTCCCTAGACATAGGAACTGGTTTGACCTCGTTCGCAGAATAACGCAGCTCCTGACGCTTGTTTGTGCATTTGCTGGCCTCAAACGGTGCAAGGATAGGTCTGTGCGACACGTTGTGACAAATCAGCGTCAGTTTGTTATTTATAACTGTGTTTTTGCGGATTGAGGATTGGTCGTAGGGATAGATGCTCCAAACATGCGAGCAGGGAAAAACGTGCAAGGATAGGCCCGTGCGACATGTAGTGCGACACTGACGCCCGCTTGTTAATTTCAAAAGGGAGTTTTGGTTACCAACGTTGCATTTAGTATATTTCAAGCATGCTGGAGAGATCTGTTGTTGTTGTTGTTGTTGTTGTTGTTGTTGTTGTTGTTGTTGTTGTTGTTGTTGTTGTTGTTGTTGTTGTTGCTGCTGTTGTTTAATATAATATGTATAGGATGATCA